CAATATACATGACTCGACGTGTATTAACGCGAAGTGTGAAAAGAGCACACGAAATGGAATGTACATTAACTTATCCTTAGCTCTCAATCTGTCGTTTAATGAACATTTGATTCATTTACACCAAACCTTACCTACATTCGTTAATTAGTAGTCTGTAGCATAAACACCCACATACCCCCACCACCTTCCTTAATAAACATCGAGAGAAAAAGAGAACGAAGAATTGTCTGCAATGCATGGCAAGAGAATGAAAGATAATGCACAAATTGAAAAGGGACCAACTGAAGAAGAAAATGGAAGTTTCACCATGCACACGGCGGAGACACTGCTGCGCATCCTGCCTATGGCTCTGTTCGTGGTGGCGCTAGTCATCGTGCTCAAGGATTCACAGACTAATGATTTGGTTCCTTGTACACTATTTTGATATTGATGCTTCCAAGTATTTCTTGGTGAATTTGGTGATAGAAAGGTTGGTGTATGTGCGGATATTTAGTTTTAGTGCATGCTAGTGGCGTTTGTGCCGATTAATCCCTTTTCTTCACCGTCAAGGCCGCCGTACCAAAGCCATCAACCACGTCCTGAGACTTGACATTCCTCGTTCTCGACCAGGATTGCTCATACATGTTTTACTACCATTTCGGTACATAAATTTCACTCACTATTATTACACCTACTGTCAATCAAGTAACCATATATCAATTTTGTTCAACCACGTAATTACACTTTAATCTCCGATTGAACAAAATTGAAGTGAAAGTACAGATACCGCAAACTGAATTGACCCCATTTCAGCTCCATTTCTTCACTTTCAAGGTCTAGTCACATAAAGAGCTTCATATAACCGACCACAAACTTACTAAGCTCAAGACATGGTTTACCGTTATCGATATATATGTAAGTTCTGTTTTGTTTCATGCAGGTTCTGGCCTACAAAATCCTGGCAGCTGATGCGAAATCGACGGAGGTAGTGTACTTTGCTTATAAAGGGGACGCCGCCCCTTGCGTAGAGCCATAGCAATAACATTCATCGTTACACTATGCTATGCAGGGCCTTACACTCATCTCCTCATGTAGACTTTTCAGCAAATATGATGCACCAATTCCCTTAGCCTTGTAAACAGCCCATCTAATAAAACGTAAAATCTTTACACAAGAGTCCCTTCTGTTTTCTGTTTAAATGCAACATCTTGCTAATCAAAATTCCAGGATGGAAATAAACTATCAAGAGCCAGTAAGAAAACTTTAAAGATAAAAATAAACAAGTTGGTTACCATGAAAATGAACACTAATATAATACAACCATGTAATTACGTTTTTAGAACACAAAACAACGTTGCCCCAGATCAACAACCAGCACGGTAAAAAAGAGAATTTTAGAGAATAACAGTTCCCATCAACTTATTAAACATCAGAAAACATGTAGCAGTAGTACTGCAGTAGGAATGCTTATCGTTGACGAT